CTATTGCAATTCTGACGTAGCTATGTGTGTCAAGTCTGGCACCTAGCTGATAACAGCATCGCAGCACCAATGGCAATGATAATGTACCAGCTATTACGAATCTAGAATTCAGCAAGTATTTATTCAGCTTGCTGATGTGCCAGGCACTGTGGATACAAGAACAAAAATGGCAATCCTTGTCCTCAAGGAGCTTACATTCTACTGGAACTAACTGACCTGGCATCATTGGAGAACCCTGTTTCAAGTGAATTTACAAATTGGCATTTAGTTCAGGGTCTGCAATTAACTAGCACCTTCAGTGTTAAGTCAACTTGAATTCATTAGAGGGAGCCCATTCTGGTTTTCTTGATATCATTCAGGGTTTCCTTATTATTTCTTATATTATCTTTCCACATTTAAAAGGTAGTATACTATTTTAAAAACTTTGTAGAAAAGTTTTTTTTTTTTAAAGACTAGACCTGTGATGTTATTAGTATCTCAAATTCCAGGTAAGGAAACCCTCTACAATGCAAATCAGTACCTTCTCTGCAACTTAGATTGAGACAAGCTATTGCTTACTGAAAATCTGTGGAACTTCTTACATATAGAATTTTTTGAAGTTGGAAGAAAACTTTGAGGTCACAGAATCAAATGGCATTACTTCATAGATGAAGAAATTAATGGAGAGGTGACTTGCCCAGGGTCACATAGTCAACAGCTCACAGGTAAGGCTATCTAGATATTATGGTTTCCTACAGAGAGTCAAATATGGTCATTTCCCAAATGTTTGATGAGCTTCCTATGCTTTGTACACACTCTCATTTTTATAATATAAAGATTGATAACATTTGTTATCTATGTAAATTCTTTCCAGTTCAGATTTTTGGAAAGATTGATAGCTTTGGCTTACAGTTATAAATGCCATTCATTACTGTGAAATTACAGGAAACCATGAAGACCAGCATTATTTGACATGGCAGACTGGGGAAGAGGATCTCCCACCTGCTCCCTACACCTCGGAGATGTTAAAAAGACTAAGGAAGCGATACTTATGAAGCACTTTTGTGCTCACAAGATGAAGAACTCTTTCGTTTGGATGTAATAGTTCTTCAGACTATTCATATCTAAGAAGCTACACAGATAGCTCTGGGAACATTCTAAGTCATATATTTAATGGTTTAAATATCTAAACGCTCTAAATTTAATTGCTAAGCACCATGTTTATGACAAGGCAACTAATTTCATGAAGTCTAATTTCTATGGTTTGTTTTCCATTTGAATCCTAGTATCACCATTGTTTAGCCGAATTATATTATTATACATGAAAGTAGAAGCAGTTAGTCTCAAATATTTTTTGCAGTTTATATCAGATTCGTTTAGGGGCAGCTAGGTGGTGCCATGGGCAGAGTGCTGGGGCCAGAGTCAAGAAGACTCAGCTTCTTGAGTTCACATCTGACCTAATATACTTAGTAACTGTGTGACCCTGGGCAAGTCACTTAGTCCTGTTTGCCTCAGTTCCTCATCTGTAAAATGAGCCAGAGGAGGAAATGGAAAACCACTCCAGTATCTTTGCCAAGAAAACTCCAAATGAAGCCACAAGAGTCAGACACGACTGAATAGATGGGATTTAGATTAAAACTTAATTTTAGCTTACTTGTGTGAATAAGAATGAATATCATACTTGAAATGAGAAGGCTAATAGATGTAAAGTGAGGCAGTATATTAACAGAAAGAGCACTTCTGGCTCTGCTGCCTACCACCTGTGTGAATTTCTGCAAGTCACTTCCACCCTCAGGCCTCAGTTTCCTCATTTGTATATTGAAAGAGCTGGACCAGGCAACCCTTAAGGTGCCTTCCAATTCTAGATCCTAGGAGCCTCAAAATTGGGCAAATATGAACTTGATATTTTAATTTCATGGATAAAAATGAATGCATTCATTGACACAGTTAAAATTCACTGAAGTTCCCACACCACAATAAAATGAACAGCTGGGTCAGGATTAAAACCTACCCAATTCTTAATCATTTATTACATCTATTTCTAGTCCTCAGGAAACAGCCCAAGCAATAGAAGTAAATTCTAGTCACAGCATGGCTTTTCATTCTGGGGGAAGCAGAACCTTGATAATATAGCAAATGAAACTCATTACTTTCTACAGCAAAGAAGACTCCTGTAATGGCCTAATTCATCTTCCTGACTCCATAGTTTCAACCCCTCTGCTCCAGCCTTCACACAGCAGCCAAACTGACATTCCTAGTATACAAATTGACCAAGTTCCCTCCTCTCAACTTTCCAATGGCTCCTTATCACTCCCAGGATAAAATACAAAATCTTCAGCCTGCTGTTTTAATGTTCTGCACAACCTGGCTCCCAATTTACGTTTCCAATATATTTTGTATTATCCCCCTTGACATACTCTCCGATCCAAACTAGATTTCTCACTGTTCCCAATACATGACATGACATCTCTTGCCTTCATACCTTTGCTTGAGTGGACCCCAAAGATCTGGATGTGACCTCCGTCTTGTCATTTGCCTTAAGAATCTCTAGCTTCTTTCAAAGCAAGTCTTAGATGCTACTTCCTATACAGGCCTTTTCCCATACCTGATGCCATAAGTATTTACACTTTCCCTTGAAATGACTTATTTACTTAACACTTATTTGCATAGACATAATATACACTGCTCTCTTGGACAGCCTAATAAAGTACCTTGCAACAAGCACAATATAAATGTTTTAATTTAGCACATGCAAGAATAAGACTTAAGTACCTTCATCTTCTCACAGTAATGTACTAGGTAAACATTTAACAAATAACAGGCTCTACTACTAAGTGGTGCAGTGGCCAAAGTGCTGGGCCTAGAATCAGGAAGACCTGAGTCCAAATCCAGCCTTGGACACTTACTAGCTGTGTAACCCTGAGCCAGTCACTTAACCCTGTTTGCCTCAGTTTCCCCATTGGTAAAATGAACTGGAAAAGGAAATGGCAAACTACTCCAGTATCTTTGCCAAGAAAACCCCAGTGGGGTCACAAGAGTCAGACACAACTGAACAACAAACTACTATGACTAACTACTAAGTTTCTCTGCCCTTCTTTGCATGCAAAAAGGACCCAAATAAGCCTTAAGAAGGACCAGGGGAAATACTACCACGCTCTGGAGAGATTCTGATTACTGCTTGAAGATCCCCAAGTCTGCACACATACTGACAGCATATAGTGTACTTGACTAAAAGGTCTTCACCAACAGATCCTAGCTTTGACCATTTTGGGGTTATATGTCACTGTGCCTGTGAATTAGATCTTAAAAATGTGAACTTTGAGCTGGAAAGGTCTCTTTATAGAGGCTATCAAGCCCTCTTTTTACAGATAAGGAAAGTGAAGAAGGTGGTCCAAGTGGCCCAGGCAGTAGGAAGAGAGGGGCTTCTAACTCAAGATTCCCTGTTAGGCCTGCCATGAGCTCAAGCCGTCTCCATTCAACATATGCTAGCATAGTTCAGCACACTGTTGTATATAAGGAGTTCAGAGTTTTAGTCTAAGATATTTGCTACATTAAGGATTGGGGGGAGGGGGAAAAGGGAAGGAATTTCTTTCAAAAAGATTTAAAAGGTATAGGAAAGCAAAGATCTTCCCTAGAGAACCCCTGGGAGGGCACAATATATCAATAACTATTTCATGTTTCAAGATTTACAAAGCCCTTTCCTCACCACAACCCTGTGAGGTAGGTCATGTGCGTGTTATTCTCATTTTACAAAAATAAAAGTTGAGATGTAGGGATTCCCCAGTGTCACACAACTAGTATCAGAGTCAGAATTTTAACTTGGTTGGGTCTTCTTATTCCAAGTCTTTCCCCAACATCCCACCCCACTACTTTTCTTCTCTAACAAATCTAAAGGCTTGTTCCTAAGGTTACATATGATGTCATCATACCTGGGAATGTCTGACTCTTCTATGAATGGCTTTAAAAGTCAGCCCGTGATCCTTACATTAAGGATTAAAGAGTAAAAGGGCAACATTTCTGAAGAGTTTCTCATAACTATAAATGCATATCAAGGAACCCAATGTATATTTACCTGACTTTGTAACCTAATACAGAGGGGACAGTCAGGCTGACTCTTTGGTAACATTAAATGAATAAGAAGTCTTTGCTCTCCTAACTCCAAAAGAAACAAAATTCAGAAGTACCTAGAGCCACAGAATTAGTTGTCTTTTCCCCAAGAGCCTTGAGGAGGAGAGGGTTGGGTGGGGGACATCGGTTATGTTTTTGATGGGGGTTTTTTTGGTTTTGTTTTCTGGTGAGAACTCTAACCTGGATTAGAATGCTTTGCCAATTTGAAAGTTCAGCGGCAACATCTGACCCTTCAATGTGCCTTTGCAGCTGATCTTCATCTTATGAGTAGAGCTCTTGCAAGTAAAGGAGATTATGTTTTAAAAATAAACCCGTTTTATACTTTGGCCTTCCCTATTGGTACAACCAGAGCTATTTTCAGTTTCAGACTCACTAGATCATGACTAAGTCTTTTACATAATGTCTATGAGGACCTCTATCTGGCAAAGCTTTGATTACAGGTAATTCAGCACTCATCGAACGCATAGTCAGTGAAAAATTCACTGTTTGCATATTTATGTTGCAATAAGTATCAAATGGCTCCATAATAAATCATTTAAGTGAACAAGCTCTACAGAATAGTTACATAATGGTCAATGGTGTATATACACATAGAAGAATCTACATGAAATATATTGGTAAAATTCAACTGTTATTGTTCACCACTCCCTACTTTATCAAGAGCCAAGTAGGTAATTTGCTTCTGTGTTTTACAAAGGAGGTATCAATGACATTAAAATAACCTTAAAAATTATTTTAGTGGATGGTCTTTCCCATCCAGCACTTTGAAACCTATGTGGAAATTGTTAGTCATGCAATTTAGAATTCTATTTCCCTCTCTTGGTTGGGCTGGTAAAGGATTCCAACCTGTGACAATAAAAATATCAAATAAAAACCAAATTTGAAAAAAATAATAATACCAAAACAATAAGAATCCTTTATTGAGCTTGGTTTGCTCCTTACTGAGAATTTTGCATCTGGGCTTATATTTGCAGTCACCAACTTAACCTTTTATGTACATTAAAAAAGCCAAACAAACCAGAATCAGATACATGCATACACACAAGTAAACTATTAAAAATTAGAACCACAAAATATTTTTAAGTTTACTTTAAAAGATTAAAATATTTCCTGAATTGTTCAACAGATCAAGGAAATAATATCACATTGGTTTATTTTGTGTGGTTGGTTATATTTTATTTTCCAAGTAATACTGATTAAAAATATTTACACTCCTACTTTTAAATCCACAGTTTAGCACTCATATATATGGCTTTAAAAGATTTAGCACAAGATCTTTACATTAAGAATGGGGAAGAGGGGAAGGTTCCATTTCAAAACCAAAGCCTGATACATTATATACATATTTTCTCTGTACTTGCTTTTAAATACATTAATTTTAAATGATGCTTTTCTTTTAATCTTTTTTCCATCTGGTGGTAAAATACTAGTGCAATTTTTTATCCAAATAAAATTTACCACAGATGCAGCCACATCTCCCAATTGTAAATGGCCCTTTAAAAAAAACTGCCACAGTATGAAATCAAACTTAAATGAAAAAGAATTGGTAGCTGACAATTATAAGCAAAAATATAAAGTACTATAGCATTATCTACATTGCTCTTTACCACACAAACCTTCAAAGAGCTAAAGAAGCTTTGTAGAAGTTTAGTCAGTTTTGAAAAAGGCACATGGGTGTGGGTTTTATTATTTTTGCATTCTGAAACTTTTAACACCATTTCTCTGTCCCTGCCGCAGAGCTGGCCTCACTGAACATTGGGGTGGGGAAAAAAAAAAGCCAAAAGCTAAAATTTACCGCACAGTGACAAATGTGTTTTGTTCATGCAGACCTGTTTTCTACATATTCTAACATGCATTAGAATACATGAACATGTATATGTATTCTAATGATTTCACATGTGATTTTATAATATGTAAAATGTTTCAGGAAGGGCAATGACCTGGGGAAGAGGAAACTTTATCACAATGAAAGTAACTACATTCATACCAAACAGTATAACAAAGTTGCAATCCATTTAAGTTTCCACTAATCAACTTTTCAGAACTACCCCATTTCTGGGAAAATCCTCTCCTCTGTGGCATTTGGGGGGGGGAGGAAGGAACAGAAAAATTCATTTCTGGATAATATGAGCGGTTCAGCAGTATAGGAAATATTCTAGCTTTGGTCCACCTGTCTTTTTTCCTAAGGATAGTCACACTGCCCTTAGTTCAAAAACCCAAAATGTAAATTAAAAAAATATTCATTTGGTATTTCATCCTAAAACTGGGCACAGCTGTTCTGCCCTAGGTTTGTGTTTTTAAAGTTTGTCCATCTACCATTGGTTCAGTCTTTAAATCTTCACCTTGTTCGTGATCTTCCTCCTTATTGGCCTCAGCAGCATTGGCTTGGCTCTGCACACTCTCTTCTAATTCTCCCTGGTCCATGATTTCAGGGTCCCCTTGTGCTAGGTCAGCTTCTTCCAGAAGATCATCCTGTACTTCCATTTGCATTTGATTTACACGTTCAACATGTAGCTCTTCCACATGTACTTCTGTCCCTTCTTCCGTATGAATTCGACCCACTTCTAAATAACTAACTTGGACCTGTTCTGGTAGCTCCTCCACTGGTGTGCCTTGCACTTGATTGTCCTCTAAAAGATCTGCATGGACCTGTTCCACAGTGACTTGGGCTGAATCCACTTGGACCTGAAGGAGTGGCAATACATGTACCTTCCCTACTTGCTCTATAATAGTCATTGATGTCACAGGTTCTGTTTCCACTGTCTCTACAGAAAGAAGCTCTTCTGTCACTATTCGTTCTGAAATGTTGTGTATTTCCTTGAGATGCCTCCTTAGTTCATTTCCTTGCATAAACCACAAGTCACATAAGGTACAATGGTTGGGTTTATCTCCTGTGTGTATTACCAAGTGATCTTTGAACTGGTCCCAGCTGTTAAATACACTGTTACAGACCTGAAATTATTAAGCACATGACACACTTTCAAAATGATGCATATTGCTTTTAGAAGACTATGTCTTAAAATAAATTCTGATAATAGTAAGTTAGGAATATGATGAATTTATTGTAAAAGAATTAAGTTTAAAAATATTTTTTCTTGCTTGAATTACTGGAAACATTTTTCATATGTGCACAAAACATCTTTTTAAAAAACTTAGGGGACAGAGAGCACTGGCCCTGAAGTCAGAAGGACCTGAGTTCAAATCCAGCCTCAGACACTTAACACTTAACTAGCTGTGTGACCCTGGGGCAAGTCACTTAATCCCAATTGCCTCACCAAAAAAAACAAACAAAAAAACCCCAAACTATTCTGACCCATCATTTGTTAGTTAAAACAGGAAATATATACAACTGGAAATTTAATTTAGAAAAAAAATATCGCTCTAAGGAAACTATCTAGATGTGAAGAAAATTTTATGAGACTTCAACTATTTTAACTATTCCTTGAACTAATAAAAAGCCATATATACCTCTGCTGATGGTATAAGACATAAAATTATTCCTACTTGGATCCCCATACTGAAAGTCACAAATATTGAACAAAGTAGACTGCTTGGCCTAGCATTAAGACCCTTGATATCATGCTAACCTACCTTTCCAGCTTTATTTTCTACATGTACCATAAGCTATAAATTGGACTACCTGTTTCTCAAATATGCCTTCCTTTTACTGTCAGTGCTCATATCTCTTCCTCCATGAAGTATTTCCTGATCAACTCCTCCTTCCTTTGAACTTCTATGGTACTCCACACCATCCTACTAATTGTATATTATCTTTCATTATAATTATTCATATATTAAAACTCTGGGATCTTTGAAGTCAGGGAACTGTGCCATTTTTCATAATCGTATCTCTAGTGCCTAGCACAAAACAGATACTTATTAGTCAACTTGAATATTTCTTAAAAATAGTAGGGAAGGTTAAAAAAAAAAGTAGATCGTAAAGTTCCTGAGGACAGAGGCAACACCTTACAGATTTTCAATTTCTTAAAATAAAAAAGTTCATGTGAACACTTAAAAGGAATTTGTTTTCTCTAAATCTGCTCCCAGATATGACTTCTACTGAGTCTTTACTAAAAGTTGAAAATTGGATAAGGGAAGGATGTTTTGACGGAAGGGGGAGGGAACAGATCAGCAGGGAGTATAGAAGGGTTTTTAGATTCATGGCAAAGGGAAAATAATGCAGGGATTCTTGGAGGGGGGAGGTAGTTTAAGTAACAAGAGGGAGGGCAGAAGTAAAGTAAAGGAGTCAGGAGGGATAGGAAATGAGATAAACAGTAGAATTTGTTAGGAAAACTATATGTCTACGCGTGTATGTGTGTATTTATATATCCATATCTATATATAAATATATCTGTGCTTAATTGTAGCCTTCTAGGGGCGGGGAGAGGAAGGGGGAAAAAAAGAACAAAGTAAAAAGTACACAGCAGAGAACAAAAGAAAACTTACAAGGAAGCAAAGATGGACAGTTTTCAACACAATGTGTAGTATTAAATTCATTGCTATGTATTTTGAATCCTCTCCTACGTTCTGCTGTGCACATGACATGCGTTTTCCCCCTTTTTCTTATTTTGTATTTAAGTTTATAATGTTTCTTTTTCTCTATGTACTTACATCTAAAATTGAAAAATGAAAAAAACAGTTGAAAATGTAAAGGAACTCATTAATTCATAAACTGACTACATTAAGAAAACTTCCTTGAAAAAAGTAAAAGTGTTATAATTATGAAAATATTAAATTATTCTAACAACTCAACTGCTACACATGGAATAAGGAATCTATATATTCAAGTACTAAAAAATACTGACACCTTTTTAGATATGACAGCAATCTTCTACTCAAAGAAATATAACACAGTATTCTTGATTTATATGAGGAGATAGTTTTAAATTTTAGAGCTAGTTACAATGTTTTTAAGTTATTGAAAGCCTCTTTAAAGAATTCAATTACTAAATAAAAATCAAAAGAGATTGTACTTATTCAGTGTCTGGCAAAAAATTTCAGTATTTATAATTAGCTCCTTCCTCTCCTTCCGGAATTTTTAAAAGCAGTAAGATGTGTCAATTCTTGACTCATTTTTGGTGAAAAGAAGTGAAGTCTTGCTTTTAAACCAATCCCCTGGGCATTCTGTGTTTGTGTGCTTGCTCCAGAACTGAAATCTGTTACATTGTTAAAAAGAAATCAAGACACACATTAAGGTGAAACTAAACGGCAGCTAACAAAATCCTTAAAATGTTCCAAGTTTTCTGTAAGGACTGACTTTGGTGAAAACAGTTTTCAATTATAGTTGGCATACAGTGATAACTTGGAAAAAAATGAGGAGGTACATAATTCAGAGAATTATTAATATAAACAGTCAAGAAAAGAAGCCAATCAGGCTGTTCTTAATATAGCTCTCCTAATAATCTGCTATATGTTCTTAGCCAAGCTAGTGCACACCTGCAGTTTTGTTTTTTCACTTCAAATGTACAGATTCAACCAACAGATCTATTGTAGTATTATATACAATTATATCTATGTGTATATTAAGTGGCCCTACGATATTCTAAAGCTAGAAACAGAAAGTAACAGTGACATATTTTCCTAGGCTAACAAGATTAAAACCCAGAGAATACCTGGAACACATACAGATCATAATAGTTGTAGGGAAATATTTCAGCTATCAGAGGGCTGACTTAAATGGCTTAGGTGGACATAATGAAGTACATGAATTTTTCAATAAAAAATAACACTCCAGAAGCTGTTATTTTCTGGAATAAAGAACTTTTGTAATAGGGAATAAAAATCTTTGTGCTTGGGGTTGAGTTAATCTTTCCTTTACTTGCCACCAAGGGCCAAAATAGTGGTCTTGCTTTGTATTGAATTCCAAACCTACCACCTCAATTAAACCTTTTCCTTGAGCTCTGACATCCTAGAAGCAAGAGGGAAAAAGAAAAAAAAAACACACACACACAAGGTCTCACTTTCAAATATTTATAAGACAGACTCCCTGTGTAAAGAAAAAGGGAGGGAAAAAGCAAATCTCACATACCTGACATTCATAAAGCTTCTTTCTTCCTTTTTTAGCCCCCACACCAGATTGGCATGCGGTCAGGTGACATTTGAGTGTGCTATTCCTAGCAAAACGTTCATGGCAATTTGGACATTCAAAAGGTTTTTCACCTATTAAAAAAGGAACAGAGAAATAGATGTATAAATTAAAGAAAACAGCAAGATCACTTCAAGGATTGATTTTATCGTTCTTTGTAACTGGACTGTGAAAATGCACTGAAGTTTGGGGACTTGGGAAATTCAGTGTTCTTACAGAATCTGAAAAAGGGAAAATACAGAATTATTTAGGACATGAAGTTTTTAAGAGTATTGCAATATCTGCTGATGAAGCACACTTAACTTGGATCCAGATTCCTTTAATGGTCTAACTTTTTCTTAAGTAAAAATATCAACTAAATAAGCTCTGTTATATTGGTAATTAATTTGGGGGGGGGGAAGAGTTACATGTATCACTAGAGTGTAATTTCTACCAGGAGGTGGCTTAATCCTGAAATCAGAGAATCACACAATGTTAGAGCAAGAAAGGATCTGAGATCATCTAGTCCAATACCCTCACATTACAGATCAAATTATGGTTCTATTAGCATGGTAGTTTGTTAATGTTTATGCTTAACTATCATTTAAAGAGACAAGGACAGACACACATTTGGCTGCCATGTGGAAAAGGAGTTAGGGGCAGCTAGTGGCGCACTGGATACAGCACCAGCCCTGAAGTCAAGAGGACCTGAGTTCGAATCCAGCCTCAGACCAAACACTTGACACTAGCTGTGTGACCATGGGCAAGTCACTTAACCCCAACTGCCAAAAAAAAAAAAAAAGGAATTAAACTTTTCTTCCTTCCTTCCTGAGGAAAAAACTAAGACAGAGAGACAGATTCCAGGTTCAGTGTAAGGTGATAATTTCTGACTAGAGGTATGCAAAAAAAGAATGGGTTTAGGAATCAGTGAGTACATTCACTAGTGGTCTCCAAGAGAAGCATCTTAGAGATGCTGTAGAAGGGATTCTTGGGCACATATGGAATTCACTAAGAAGTGATCCCTAAGATCCCTTCCGACTCTGAGATTACATAATCCAATATTTACAACAGTCTTTAAATACTGAAACACACACACACACACACACACACACACACACACACAGAGCAAGGAAAATTTCAGAAAAGCATTAAAAAGGAACCATGAGCTCCAGGTCTATTTAGCTGTAATTTTACTTTAGAGAAGTTACTTAATGTCTCTAAATCTCAATTTCTTCATTTGTAAAACAGGAAAAATTCCTGCTGTTTTACAGTCTGGGAGGGTCAAAGAGAAAATATACATTTAAAGTGATATATCTATTTTAGTTACTTGCATAAGTCATAAAGCAGTAGATAATTAAGCACTAAATTGCATATTATGGATTGTAAGCACTTACCAAAATTCGTTAGAGATAAATGGGGACCTGAATATCATTATAAAATTTTCCCCACAGGTAAAAACCTAAGTCTTTTCTAGTTAAGGAAACACTGTATGAAACCACTACATAAAAACTATTCCACTGTATTCAATATGATAAGGAAAAAAAGCCAAAAGCTTCTTTAGAAACAGTTTCTAGACTGTTAACTTCAAATCCCTATGGTCAATATACAGCCACAGAATGACCTATCCAGCTGAGAGCCCATTGTCCCAGATAAGCAATACCACAACTCTTCCGTCACTGATGCCATGCTGCACAGTGAATTTTGTGAGGATGGGCTACCAAAGGGAGGTCAGAGAGGTCCTGAAATTCTAGGGTTGAGTTGCTCAGGCCACCTCTGTCCCCTGCATACATGCCTTGATACTACTCTATGTTTGTGTCCACTCTTCCTTATGTTGACCCTGTGTAAACATTTAGTAGAGTATGTCCAATTTTTTTGGGGGGGAGGGAGGGAAGGAATGCTTTCTAACCATTCTTCTTGCTACACTATCCGAGTTACTGTCACTGCTCTGAAATATATATACATATATAGCTTTAAAATGCACTAAGATTTTTGGCACACTCTGCGTACACTTCATGAAGTTTTGCATTTCAGAGCTAGGAGAAGACTAAAGTGGCTTGCTACCAACTGGAAATGACAAGACAAAGTGTAGTATATGAATATAATGAAATATTATTATGCTGAAAACATGACCAATGAGGGATTCAGAGAAATTTGGGAAGACTTACATTAACAGAATAAAATGGGCAGAAAGAGAACAATTTATACTCAAGAGGCACAACATAAAGCAAAAGAACTTTGAAAGACTTCAGAACTCTGACCAATAAATAGTGACTAATTTTGACTCAGAAGACTGATGATGTCTTAAGAATGCCTCCTGCCTCTTGGCAGAGAGGTGATGAATTCGAGGAGCAGAAATGTTACATATTTTTTTCCAAATGTAATCAATATGCTGATTTGTTTCACTTGATTATATTATTGTTACAAAGTACTGTACTACTCTTACAAAGGAGGGACCTTCAGTTAATGGGTATTGATAAAGATACCACAAAAAAAATTAAGAAAAGAGAATCAACAAATATTTTAAAATACATAGAAGAAAACAAAAATTGAGGACACAATCAGTATATTATTAAATTTATTATTAAATTTAATATGTACACTTAAATGATTTAAATTCTCTTTTAAGTAACTTTGCTGCTAAGAATTATACCTTACTGATTAAATATTTTAAAGTTCAGAGTTAGAATTTTTATATAAAAAGAATAATTACTGAACCATGCCCCAAAGGCTATAAAACTGTATACTCTTTGATCTAGCAATACCTCTACTAGGTCTGTATCCCAAAGAGATCATAAAAAAGGGAAAAGGACCCACATGCACAAAAATATTTTTAGCAGCTTTTTTTGTGGTGGCCAAGAATTGGAAATTGGGGGGATGCCCAACAATTGGAAATGGCTGAACAAGTATGGCATATGAATGTAATGGAATACTCTGGTTCCATAAGAAATGATGAGCAGGTGGGCAGCTAGGTGGCGCAGTGGATAGAGCACTGGCCCTGGATTCAGGAGGACCTGAGTTCAAATCCGGCCTCAGACATATAACACTTACTAGCTGTGTGACCCTGGGCAAGTCACTTAACCTCATTGCCTAACCCCCCCCCCCAAAAATGATGAGCAGGCAGATTTCATAAAAACCTGGGAAGACTTGCATGAACTGATGCTGAGGTAAGTGAACAGAACCAAGAGAATACTGTACAGAGTTAACAGTATCACTGATGACCAACTTTGTTAGACTTAGTCTGAATGCAGATCAAAGCATACTATTTTCTCTTTTTTCCCCCTTTCTAATGTTTTTTTCCTTTGTTCTGATCCTTCTTTCACAACATGACTAATGTGGAAATAGGTTTTTTTAAAAAAAAGTATTGAGGCTGATTTGATGGAAAAAAAAAAAGAAAGGAAAAAAGAAATGATGAGCAGGCAGATTTCAGAAAAACCTGGAAAGACTTACATGAACTGATGCTGAGTGAAGTGAGCAGAACCAAGAGGACTTTGTCCACAATAACAGCAACACTGTTTAATGACTGACTTTGTTCAACTTGGCTCTTCTCAGAAATGATCCAATGATCCAAGACAATTCCAAAAGGCTAGAGATGGAAAATGCTAACCACATCCAGAGAAAGAACTGAATGCAGATTCAAGCATACTATTTTCACTTTTTTTCCCCTTTCTTCTGGCTTTCTCCCTTTGTTCTGATTCTTTTTTCACAACAGGACTAATGTGGAAATATGTTTAACATGAATGTACATGCATAGCCTATATCAGATTACTTGCTGTCACGGGGGGGGGAATTTGGGACTCAAAAATTTACAAAAATGAAATGTTGAAAACTATCTTTACACGTAATTGAAAAATACTACTAAGGAAAAAAAGAAAAAAATAATTAAATGCATTTAACAAAAGTTGACATCCATATAGCACTTGGAAGTTTACAAAGAGCTTTATGTACATGATCTCATTTATCCTTATAACAATTTAAGACTCTACTACGGATACTATTATTCCCACTTTATAGATGAGGAAACTGAGGTACACAGACATTAAGTGACTTTTCCATTGTAAGTTCTTGGAAGCAGGATTCAAACCTGGGTCTTTGACTCCAACTCCTTCTACCACACCATACTACCAATACATAATTCTCCATTATTAGACGTGGGTAAACAGCCAAACACAAGGCAATGTACTCACCCAATGATAGTTACTGGAATTAGAAACACTGTATTTGGGAAGTGGACATAATTGCTGTCTAGAGGAGTGCCTTTCCATTTAAAAATCTTATGGTAGCAAAAGTTATATTGGTTAAAGCAGTTATTTAGGCACAAGCAATGATACCCTTCAGAGGCAAGCATGTAGTATTATGAAATAGTGTTTCTAGTTTTTTCCCACATCTACACACTCATGCCCAATTATATGACCACCTTACATTTGTGGGGCACTTTTGTTTTATAAAACACTTTCATACCTGTGATTTTAAATGAGATCACGTGTGTAAAACATTACATAAATGAGAGGTATGATTACTGTACTTAATTCTCATAACACCATATGAAGTAGGTAGGACAAAGATCATCCCCATTTTATAGATAAGAAAATAGAGGAAGAGAGAGGTATGACCAAGCTCCTTCAACATAGGTGAAACTTGAATCCAGAGTCAACCTTGTCAACATATGAGACTGCCTCTCCAGTTGTGCTGCTAAGTCCGAGTTGGAGCAGGAATCAGAATTCTCAGTTTGGACTGCAGCAACTACAATAGCTCTGCTACTGATTTTGTTTTGCCCTTTAAAAAATAATTACTTAAGTTTTAATTGTTTACAAATAACTATACTATTCCACTCTTTTAAAAATTATTAGAAAAGGGGCAGCTAGGTGGCGCAGTGGATAGCGCACCGGTCCTGAAGTCAGGAGTACCTGAGTTCAAATCCGGCCTCAGACCAAACATTTGACACTTACTAGCTGTGTGACCCTGGGCAAGTCACTTAACCCCAAATGCCTTAAAAAAAAAAAAAATATATATATATATATATATATATATATATATATATATATATATATATCTTAGAAAACAAGATACCACCCAGACTAATTAATGTGCTTTAGTA